ATATAATATTTATATCAAAGTAAGAATTGCACAAAAATTTTATATTTAAAGTAATGATTATCTCTTTGAATGAAATATTGTTTTTTAAATACAATAAAATTGTTACTTTAAGTCGAAAAACTAAAAACATAAAAATATTTTTTAAGAAAATAAATGGCACTCTATTTAAGTGACAACAGATTAACAAATATATTAATCTATAAATTCTACATAATTTTCGGGTATAAGTCCAGTCTTGCCGTTGAGACAGCCCTCGAGCCAACCGGGTTCTCGTGACTGACGGACTGTACGTACAAAACAAACAAACAGTTAGTTATTAAATGTATATATTGAACAATAAAGTGAACAAACCGTTAGTTATGATCATATTTGGCTCAAAAGACAGCTCCGAATCATTTTCTCCGACACACGCATAACGGGTGCGAACTTTGCGGAAATTGATGGGAATGTTCTGCACTGACGGAGCGGTTACTAATTGTTGTCTATAATTATAAAAAGTCTTTGAATGTGGATTAGGGATAGTGTTGGGCGGAGAGGTGTTTGGACTCGTGTTGTTCTGCATTTGCGATGACTGTTGTGTATAACTATTGAGAAGAGAGTCAGCACTACCGGAGCTGGTGGTCGGGGACTTCTCTTTATGATTGTCTAACATTTGGTGCATTTGCGGCGAAGAGCCCAAAGAGACCACATTTGGCGGACCATTCCATTGGTTATATATGGCTAAGGGTCTGACCGCGCGCTGTAGTGACTGCTGCGGACCGTTCGGGTACTGAACGTAATGCTGTTGCGGAAGGCTTTGTATGGATTGAGCATAAGTTATAGAGTTGGGCGGCGGAGGGAATGAAGCCGTCATTTGATGGCTTGTGTGCGACAAACTGTGCTGATAGAGAGGTCGTCGGTACTGATGCTGAATCATTGGATTATTCATAACCATTAACTGGTCTTGACTTGTGCTACGGGTCGGGCCTCTGATCTGAGCGTATGTCGAGTTATTGTCGTACTGTAAGCGCCCATAAAGAGGACTATTATTAGAACTCATTTGTGGTATAAATGATGAGTTCGTATTCAGGGGTGTTATCGCACCCGAAGGAGAACTTCGCGGTTGGCTTTGAAAGCCATTCTCAGGCTTTGTACCAAAAATCTGTTTCAAACATCCAATTAAAACATTAAAATCGTGTCAAACGTCTCGTAAATTGATGCAAACCTTATCACAGTTTTCAATGAGAAGTTCTACGACAACGTTTCCAAACTTTATATCCATAATCGCTGCAACTGTTTCTTCTTCAGGTCTCAACAGTGTTGGACCAAAACAAACGCCTAAATTTGAAACAGTCATCAGATTCTTCTCGCAATGATTCGCAACACTAGATTTAAAAAAAAAACATTTGTATCACAGAATACAAAATAATTGCGTCAATTGCAAGAAGCGCTCACTTGCAGAGGTGTTTGACCAGAAGTTGAAGCATTTCAAAGTTAAGAGCCGGTAATTTGTGGACTAAGCAGTGAATGGCCTCAACTCTCTGCACTTTGTTCTCGTGTTCTAAAAGTAAATGCATTTTCAGAAATACAACAAATCAAACGAAAATACTAAATAAATTACTGGCGGCGGCGATAAACGCGGTGTGAAGTCTGAACGACATGAGAGATTCGGGCAAATTGCGGAAATAAGTCTTTAAAGCACTTGTTATTGTTTTGGTCTCCCATTCATCAGAGCTGTCGAAGTCGTAGATCTCGTTACTATCGGTGATTTTTCTTCTGTCGAGACATAACTGAATCATACGATTCACTTTAGACGCGACGCCAACAACACGATAGAGGCCCTGATCTTCGAGGCCTCTCTTCTCTATGACGTGAATACACTTCTGGATTTGATGCAAACCTTATCACAGTTTTCAATGAGAAGTTCTACGACAACGTTTCCAAACTTTATATCCATAATCGCTGCAACTGTTTCTTCTTCAGGTCTCAACAGTGTTGGACCAAAACAAACGCCTAGATTTGAAACAGTCATCAGATTCTTCTCGCAATGATTCGCAACACTAGATTTTAAAAAAAACATTTGTATCACAGAATACAACATAATGGCGTCAATTGCAAGAAGCGCTCACTTGCAGAGGTGTTTGACCAGAAGTTGAAGCATTTCAAAGTTAAGAGCGGGTAATTTGTGGACTAAGCAGTGAATGGCCTCAACTCTCTGCACTTTGTTCTCGTGTTCTAAAAGTAAATTCATTTTGAAAAATACAACAAATCAAACAAAAATATTGAATCAATTACTGGCGGCGGCGATAAACGCTGTGTGAAGTCTGAACGACATGAGAGATTCGGGCAAATTGCGGAAATAAGTCTTTAAAGCACTTGTTATTGTTTTGGTCTCCCATTCATCAGAGCTGTCGAAGTCGTAGATCTCGTTACTGTCGGTGATTTTTCTTCTGTCGAGACATAACTGAATCATACGATTCACTTTAGACGCGACGCCAACAACACGATAGAGGCCCTGATCTTCGAGGCCTCTCTTCTCTATGACGTGAATACACTTCTGGACGAAAGTGAAGCCCAGATCGTCCAAAAGGCAATCCTCTTGACGCTGAGGTAATGGTTTGCCGGCGAGCGTGGGATTCAATTGGATGGGCTCTTTGCCATCCATGGCGTCTAACCAGAGTTTACGGTCTTCTTCAGACAGTGCCTGAAATGTGTACAAACAGTTGGGTTTCTCCACAGGAATTATATCGAAACAAAATCGTTTGTCAATCGAATCAGACATTCGACGAATGCATTCCTTAAGAGTGATCTCTTCAGTCGATATCTGTATTCATAAACGAATGAAAGCGTTAGAAACGAAACAATTTTGACAGCAAATGACATGACATACAATTTTGGCGATGGTTTGGTTGTACTGAATCATTGTAAACCGTTTGTTCTCTTTGTCGTATTGGCAGAAATGTTTGGCCCAAGAGGTGCCGAACGCTTCTACACATTCACCAAAACAAATAGCAAACAATTTGAATAAATATTATCAAAAATAACTCTTTTTAAGTATTATAAAAGTAAATATTTTTATGCTTTAAAGCACTTAAAATTGTGAAAAATACATTTCAATTAATGGCATAAATTAGGCGTTCAATTGAAGACTGAGTCACGAAATATTTGCATTTTGTTTAATGAAATACAAATGTTTGCGTGTTTTGTCTATTAATTAAATAAAATACAAAACGAGCGGAAACTTAATCGAAGGATACGATAAGTGCTTACTCTTCTCCATAAGAAACAGATATCCCTGTCGTGTATACATCTTGTTTAGTGAACCCGAGTCCTGAAGTTTCTAAAAATACGTTTTTAAAGACAATTTTAAACAAAATAAAACATTAAAAACATAATCAAAATATTTTTGTTAATATTAAAAATGTAATTAAATCGGAAGCAAAACATCATAAAAACATTAAGCGATCTAATTATAGACACCAATAAAAAAAAGTTGATAAATACATACATTTTTCCTCACTTCAAGCATTTTGTTCATCAGTGATTCCGTTTCGTTTTGTGTGGTCTCATAATTAGCTCGAGTCTAATCAGTCAAACATTAATTCAATCATTTATTTGTTTTAAAAATACCACAACAAGAGAATCACTCACTCTTTGTAATCGTATTTGTAGATCAGTTATAATAGATTTGAATTCTTTGGCGACTTCATGACCTGATGGAGAACACAGTTAGAACATTACGTTTAATCCATATTCACATGACTTGTGGTATAATCTTGGTTGGAGTGTACAAACCTTGATGATAGAAAGTGAGCCACCCATACATAAAACTAAGCACCTGTTCATCAGTAGAGCAAAAGGGAGAAAGAAAGTGAGAAAACACACGCATTTAGTGAACAAATATATAGTAATCGATACACAAAAAGCAATTGAGAAATGATATGAATAATTAATGAATTGAATACCGTTTCGACGAATTCAAACTTCTTTCGTTCGTTTACTTCTTGTAGTTTAAGCACGTATTCAGAGGAGGCCTGGAAGAAGTGTCTTTGTTCCATCTCTAAGCTGGCATCAGCCTAACCATCAATACAATCATCACATATTATATCATATCATTCAAAACTTAATAACACTTTCATAACAACTAAAAATCAATTTTTCAAATCATATGACAAATTATAACAAACAATTGCACCGAAAATCACAAGAAAACAATTAAATAGATATTATTTACGCTAAAAGCGAACTGATGTCAGGCATCGTAAGAGCGGAAGAAAGTTCTTCAGACGCGGAATGTGTTGACAGAAAAGTTAACAGAATTACATAAAGTGTTAATTAGTTTTAGAAATGTGTTAAAAGTAATTATATATAATTTTGAAATCATATAATATTGATATAATAGTGATGTATATCAAAGAGTATATGAAAAATATGATTATATGTTCACACAATGAATGGTTGAGTCAAACACACAAATATATTGATCCAAAATATTAGTGACAAATCATTACATATGAAGCGCAGAATCGAGACATGTATTGATTTTTTACTTCTCTCCTCTCGACATGACATGAGGTCTCAAACATTAAATCCTATGAAATAAATTAAGGGATGACTCAAAACGCATACCTCTTGCAAGTGATTCTCGCTCTTCTTCGTCGACAGATTTAAGTGTCGCTCCAATGACTGACAGAAACGAGTCGTCTCTTTGTCGAACTTCTTCTTCACTTCCTATCAATTAAACACAACTTATTGTCATATAATTGTCATTCAAATACACGAAACAATTCGTGTATAGAAAAAGTTTTTCATTTGTATCGTAAAAAAGCGATTAAAAAAGAGAGAAAGGGAGAGAGAAGGGGGAGATTGTGTCCAAACCTTTGCGCCACCGATTTGTTCGCGTCTGAACTTCTCGATCGGTTCAATGAATGTTGCGTTCGCTCTCTCCAACTGTGAGGCCATCAATTCAGACATTAATTACACATCATTTAAACACAATTACATGTAATTCATACCATTCGGTCCCTTTCGTCCTCAATCGTCGACAATAAGCGGCCGAACTCTTTGAGTGAACCGGCTTTGGGTCAACAAAAACAAGACATTTTGATCACAAAACACTTCAAATTAGATTAATTATGAACACAAACCGATTACAATTTCGTCGTCCGTTTGACTGCTTCCGATGCACTCAAAGCTAAAGTTACTTAAAGTGTCGGCAACTGATCGCTGGACACGAGACAGACCTTCATTTGACGGATCAAACAAAACAAAACAAACGACAATTATTAACAATTGAATGACAAGCCATTTATTGACAAAACAAATCAACAAATGGGTGGTAAAGTGTGGGCAAGTGTTGAGTGGGATGTGTTGGACTCACTTCTGGCGGCGGTGAGCAGGTCTTTGACCTCTTTGATCAGTGATTTGATGGCGAGGTTCATGCGGTCCATCTCTCGCTCATGTGTTTGAATCTTCTCCCGAAAGTACGGCGAATCCGTCAGACCGTCGGTAAACTCGAGCGGTAATAAACCCATTGTTTTCATCGATATATCACTTCAGACGTGACCACAAAATCAAACATAAAAAACAAATCAAATGTTTTATTATTTCAGTAATGGTTTCAAAACGGAAATGAGTTTTACATCACAAGTGATAATCGGTGAACAAGTTGTCGGCGTTTCACTCGCGAGTGATGTCCACACAAAACAATCAATTCATATATCAATTACCAGTAATTGATCCCAAAATTGACTGTTAATTACTGACGTATTTTTGGGCACAAAAATCATAAATAAATAAACACTTTATTTAGAAATTATAATTAAAACTAAAAACGAAACAAACATTTAACCAAAAGACTGAACAAAATGTTGATTAAAATATTCAAATAAATGCCAAAATGAGGTATGGATTGAGTGTTTGATAGAAATGTTGGGACAAAACAATTGATGATTTTGAGGATTAAACTGTGATTTTGTGTTGCATTTGGTTTGACATCCGAGACATTCAATGATAAGGCATTTGTGCAGTCAATACAAGGCATCCGATTGTATGACACAAACCAATCATATGTATTGAAACACTGNATGTGTTTGAATCTTCTCCCGAAAGTACGGCGAATCCGTCAGACCGTCGGTGAACTCGAGCGGTAATAAACCCATTGTTTTCATCGATATATCACTTCAGACGTGACCACAAAATCAAACATAAAAAACAAATCAAATGTTTTATTTAAGTAATGGTTTCAAAACGGAAATGAGTTTTACATCTCAAGTGATAATCGGTGAACAAGTTGTCGGCGTTTCACTCGCGAGTGATGTCCACACAAAACAATCAATTCATATAACAATTACTAGTAATTGATCCCAAAATTGTCTGTTAATTACTGACGTATTTTGTCCACAAAAATCATAAATAAATAAACACTTTATTTAGAAATTATAATTAAAACTAAAAACGAAACAAACATTTAACCAAAAGAGTGAACAAAATGTTGATTAATATTCAAATAAATGCCAAAATGAGGTATGGATTGAGTGTTGGATAGAAATGTTGGGACAAAACAGCAAAACAATTGATGGATTAAACTGTGATTTTGTGTTGCATTTGGTTTGACATCCGAGACATTCAATGATAAGGCATTTGTGCAGTCAATACAAGGCATCCGATTGTATGACACAAACCAATCATATGTATTGAAACACTGATTATATTTATTGTAATTTCCAATTCAATCGCCAGAACTCTCTCCCAATCATAAAGTGATGATTGAGTTGATTATGCATTGACTGGAAGTGCTGTTAAATAACTATAGTATACGAGTAAATGGTTTGTTAAGTAATGTTTGGCGTTTAGCGCCTGTAATGCCTATAGAGTTGTCTGTAATGCATATGAGTCTGTATTTTCATTGCTAAACAGCGGTCGTCAGGAAAATGCATATAAAGTTATCATTGAAAATGTGTACAAAATGTGTATGACTTGCACTGTGTGTACGACTGTGTTGTGCCGTTCACTGCAAACATTTTCATTACTCGTTTCCCCATATGTTAGGCAAACAATTTGAATGTGTAATTGTCTTTACAAACTCTCTGTGTGTTTAACATTTAAATTTACACTCAAAATGCATAACAAGTGTTTCAAAATTAGCTACAATTGACAGCGAAAACAAAAATCAATGCTTTAGTAATACTTTCGTGTATTTGCCAAACGTATACTGTATTACAGTATTAGCGATAGTAAAGTCCTATTGAGAGCACACTTTTGAAGGTAACGATACGCAGGTTTGACTGCTTTTCACTTGACATTGCATTTCATGGCGTATTGTATGTACTCTTGGATTACAATGCTTTGCAATACACACCACACCATAGGATACTATCTCTCGCTCTCTGTGTCTCTCTTTAATTCACACCATTTCTCTCATTTACATCCATTGCTCTCTACTATCCATCACTAGTTTACTAATGAAATAATCACTTAAATCGTAGAGTAATTCGTTATCTCTAGTGATAACTCACTGAAGAGCTCACAAAATAGTATCCAAAGATACGCCCAACTCTTCGCACATCATATTCTCCATACATTTACTGAACATTTTAACATTTATTGAAATATATTTGTCGTTGAAATCAATTCTGATTAATCATTAATGAGTGGCAATTATTTTTAGGTTAACACTGTTTTTCATACACACTGTGTATTAATGTTTGATTAGAATCGCAAAACTGTTGCCTTTTTTGCCACTCCGAGGAAATTCACGCAAAGCTTTGCAAATGAAATGTTGGGATAAATTTCTCAAATGAGTTTCTTATGACAAAAACGATAAATTGTTAAAAAGTAAACATTTAGTTAAAATAGTTTCTAATGGTTAACACGACTGTTATGTCGAAATATTGACGACAACTAACGTTGAATTTTTTTATTGTCACTCAAATCAACAGACAATTTATGGCTTTCACTCGGAATCGGTTGCTATTTATAACTTACAATTTGTTAGAGACAACGCTCTCGGCCTTAAGGTCTTTAGTGTCAGACAACAGGAGTCGACCCCAGGACTCACTCTCTGTCCATAATTAACATAAATGTTATATTCATTTCTCAAACAAAGAAATCTTTTCAATTGAAAAGAATACCTGAAATAAAATTCAATTAAAAATATATTCTCATTAGTTGTGCACTTCATTTGAATATTAATTGACGACATCTTATGCATAGATTATCTGATAAAATGCTTAGCAAATAGAGTCAAATAAGTGTTAAGAATTGTATCGATCGATCAATCGGTCAAATGATTGCATAACAACTGATAAGTAATACCAGTATTGGATTCGCCAAAAAAAAGATGTAATGTTATTCCCTCTCCATTTGGTGTCTCTTTACTGTATTTACTTTGCATTTGAATTTCAAAATACTGTTTATAAGCCCATAAAGAGTGGATATTATGGCTTTGTTTGATGCGATTGATTTGATTGAACCGATGGGAGAATACAAAGACAAAGGCATATAATGGTAGCAATGATACAAACATATAATGCTTTTTCAACCACTTCTGCTCTTCCCATAGAAAAGATGTGCAAATATTTTCATACGATTCGAAGATTGTGTTCGCGTTTTAGTATCACATCTCTATAAGCGCTGCCATTCTCTATATAGCACTCCATATACTGTATAATTGTGTTCATTATATCAATGCTTACAATGAATGGC